AACAGAAGCACCAAGCCAGGTCCAGCCTCTGCAATTTGATAGGGGAAGGCATTGGGGAGGAGGAAGCATGTGAGCAGGGAGGCAGCTGTCACAGAAGGGCACGGATTTGGGAGCATGATCAACTACTTGAGACTCTGGTTCTATCACCTGATAAGTGGGGATGATACCAGTACCTATCTCACGAGATCACACAAGGAAAATGCTCAGCACAGTGTCTGGAGTGGTGGCTTCCCTTCCTCTTCTCCATAGGATGAGGAGTGGCCTCCCAGGTGAGCTGGGGCGGGATGGGCCACTCCCAGGAAAGAGCATGGGCGGGCAGTGACAGGGTGTGAAAGCAAGAGGCTGGAGCGAGGCAAGTTGATGGAGGGAGAAATAAAGCCAGGAGCGGATGGGGCCAGATCCCCAGTGGGCTCCCTGTATGCAAAGGACTTTGGATTCCATCTTTCTGGTAAGTCATAGGCTCTGTCATGGAAGAGTGACAGGACCATGATTTGTATACTGGAGCAATCCCTCATCAGCAGGGTGAGGCTAAACTGCTGGGGCCGGGACAGGGCAGTGAGCCCAGTAAGGGGCTGCTGGAGTGAGTCAGGAGAAAAATGAGTGTACCATCAATGATGCATGTGGCCTGTTAGGGCAGGGCACTCCATGGCTCCCACCTTATTAAATCCTCACAGCTCTGCAAGGAGGTACCCACTTCCCCAGGTATGGATCACGAAACTGAGACTCAAAGTAAGTGACTTGCCCAGTCAAGAGAACAGGGATAAACTCTGAACCAAGGTCTGCCCGCTTTGTCTTTGTGTCTCTCTGGGAAGGGCTTAGCTACACAGTAAAGCCTGGGGTGGATGGGAATGGAATGGGAGCAGGGCAAGGATTCTTCTCAGCAAGAGGCTCAGCTTGATTGGTGGCTCAGAGCTCAGGGGGGTCAGGCTAGGGCAGGAAGGCCTCCCTGAGGAGCAAGGCAGAGGTGAAGGAGGAGAATTTGCTCAACAGGGACTGGGAAGTTTCTGATTCTTTCTCCCCAGAGGGCTGGGCACAACACGAAACCTGGGGAACAAAGTGTGCTGAATGGAGACGGCAAGCCAGCCCATGTCTGGGGTGAGGGTGGCACACCGGCCCAGGTGGGCGGCAGAGAGACCCCTGTGTCCTCCCTCATTCAGAGCCTCTCCCTGAGCCAGGAGCCTAGATCCTCTGGGTTTGGGGCCATGCAAGGGCATCACAGGGCTGGTGGCTGAAGCCAGACTCTTCCAAGCAGCCTTGGCCTTCCCCTGACTGCCACCATCAGCAGGGCTGCAGAGACCCCAGCCTCTTACAGGAAAAAAGCAACACTCCCACTTGAGCTGTCCCAGGCCTGCCTCACAGGAGCAGGTGAGCTAGGGGGCCATGTGCAGATGGTGCAAGATCCCCCTGTAGAGTCAAGGAATGGGGGAGGGAGACCAGGAGGGGAGTCCCAGGCTGCCAGGTCTCATACAGAGAACCCCTTGTGTCCACTTTTCCCCTGGCCATACTCCCCATGTCCCCCTTCATGTGCACATCAGTCTTTGTCCATGAGGCCCTGCTCACTCAGCTTAAAGTTGCCAGAGGCCCAGATGGGGACATGGCAGGGAGCCAGCTGGTCTTCTCCCAAGACCCTCACTCCCCCACCCCTTACCCCTTGCCTCGGCCTGCCCCATCCCAGTGAACCCCCCTCCTTTTCTGTCCCAGAGTCTTTATCCGTGTTTACTATCAATTAGGCAGCCTTAATACCCTGCACACAGAAAGCCAGCCAGCCAAGCGTGGCGATCCCTGGCCCCTCCCCATGCCTCCCTTTTCCTCCGGGTTGGGGGAGTGGGGAGAAAGGCAGTCTGCAGCCTCCCCTCCAGCCAGAGCTGACCATGGCCATGGTCTCTTTGCAGTCAGTTGTCTCTCCCAGATGAGAGTTGGAACTCTGGGGGTGGAGGTCACGGATGACATGGGATGGTGGTGAGCAGGCGCCTGTGAGTGAGGCGATGGGTGGGCAGGTCAGAGGCTGGGGGCGTGCTCGCCACTGGACACGTGTTCCCTGACTGACGTGGGCCTAGCTCAGTTAACCTTCCTGGTTGGAAGTGTCTAGGCCATCAACAGGTGCGTCCAGTGACCTCTCTCCGAGTGTCACCGGACACTCAGCCACATCTCTCTGGCCACTCTTGAGGCCTCCAGCCAAAAGAGGGAAGAGCAAAGAAAGAATGTGGGAAAAAAGTAAACACAGGAATAGATGAGGCACAGTGAGGTGGGGCTGAGGGAGGGCTGGGCCTCACGTGCCCCTTAGTGATGGCGTTTGGACTCCTGGAGTGTGCCAGCTCCAGTGCCAGGCACTTTTGGCTCATCCTGTTTCACCACCACCATTAAACCTACGAGCTACACACACTCAGCCCCACTTTAAAGTTGAGAAAACTGAGTTCAGAGAAGAAATTTGTGCAAGGTCACTCAGCTGGCCGCAGCAGGCAGAACTTGGCTACAAAGTTCACATGCTTAATTGCTTCTCAGCCACTCAGCCCCTGCCTCACCTCATTCCCTCCTCCTAGAATAGAGTCCATCAGCTGTGATCCCAGCCCTGAGCACTCACAACTAGCGTCTTCTCATCTGGCCTTCTTGAGGGACACATACAGCCTGATTTCAGGCTCCACATTCATTCTGGAAAAGCCTGTCTCAAACACTGATCACGGGAACTGCCCGACAGCCTCCCAGGCTGGGAGGACCCAGCCTCCATCCTCACAGGAGAGGCGAGAATTGGAGGTTCCAAGCAGTGGAGACGTGCCTTTTCCCAGGAGGGCCCCAGTGGCTCGAAGGGCTCAGGAGGCAGACACCAGCCTTTGAATCCTGACCCCTTGTATGATCACCATCTTGGGCAAATAGTCCAGCTCTGATGGGCCTGAGGGCCCTAGGACACAATGGAGCCTGCCCGGGTACTTCAGTAATGGCTGTCCCGGTGAGCACCCAGTGCCCTGACTTGGATACGGCAGGGTCACCACACGGTAGGGGAGTTTATCACTCCTGTACTTTCTACCCTTAGGCCGCCCCTCCCAGGGTCACACCGCACCCTCCTGGGCCTCAGGGAAACATGGCTGACAGTCGGAGCCAGAGGCCATTAGGCAGAGGTTTTATTCTCTTGCACAGAACATGCCTGGCCCTGACTCACAGCTGCCTTCCTGGTGGGATTTTGAGCTCACCCTGCTTCGGTGTAGAGATGTTCAGAGAGTCCCAAGGGAGGGATTGGCCCCAACTATGAGGAAAGGTAAAACTCAGCCCTGATTGTTGATCATAAAGCCAGAAGAAAGTCTGAGGTGAAGGTGGACAGCCAGCAGCTGGCTAATGGGTTCGGCACCTCCCAGAATCTCCCCTGTCCGGGTGAGCAGCGGCTCTGAAGCCACCCAGAGGCCCTGTTGAGGGCAGCCTGCCCCATGCACACACGGCTCGAACCAGTGCATGCAAACCCTGGTCCTTCTACGTGAGCTAACTTGGTGGTGGTCCCCTGCTGGTAACCTCAGTATTTGTTGCTCCTTTTCTTAGAGAAGAGACTGAGCACAGAGACAAGGGTAGAGCACAAGTGGGGTGGGGTGGGAGCAGTAATGGGCTTCGGATGCACAGAACACACCCAGAGAAAAAGCCCCGCTGTTCAGCAGATTTTTACCTTGGAGGTAAATTGATGTGGGAGGTCTCCACACCTTCCCTTTATATATCCAAGGACTTCATCACATATTCTTCCAATGACAAACGGTTCAAAGATACTTCCTAAGAGGGAGTCAGTGGACGGTCTTCCTCCTTTTCACCTTCACTGGAATGGTTTTTGGTAACCTTAGGACCAGAGCCCTGGTTAATGGCCCATTAGACCTACTTCCTCCTCAAAGTTCCAACAATTCCAGTGATTCTCCAGCATGTGCACTCAGCAGGATGCACAGTGTTAGCCAGATATTCCATCAGAAAAGTTGGTTTCCTAAGAGGAATGGGGTGGCTAATGCTGAGAAGGGAAGTGGGGGCAGGAGTGGTAGGAATTCACAGCACTTTCTCCACAGCCCTGGCCAGAAACCTGGCACCACGAAGAGTTGGTCTTTCCTTGGATCAGGTCCCATCTTGCAGCCCCAGAGGCTGCCAGCTACCTTTGGATGAAGTACCCACGTGACAGCCAATGGCTGGAAGGGCAGTGTTGGGAGGAATCTGTATTTGGAAGAGAACATTGAAATGGGTGGGTGGATCTCTGGCCTTATCAGGCCCCTGCATTCCAGCATGGCACCAGGGCAGATGGGCTGTCTGATCTCCACCCTGTGGGCTTGGCTCAGTGCCTGTGAGAGAGAGGGCCTTATCCTCACATGCCCCTGTGTTCAGTGTCATCCTACTCCATTGACCCCGTGGCCTTCATGTCACAGCCAGCTGCAATGGGAAGAGAAGTTGGCTGGCTTTCAAAGTCAGGGGTGGGGAGAGGCATGGCACTGCTGGGACGGGGCAAATACCACCAAAGGTGGTGTGTGTGTGCGTGTGTGTGTGTTTCTGATGGAGAATCAGCACGTGTGTGTGTGTGTGTGTGTGTGTGT